CCGGGCTGATTTTTTGATTTTATTTTAGAGATGAGGTCTCGTTGCCCAGGCGGGTCTCGAACCCGCGGGCTCAGGCAATCCACTCACCTCAGCCTCCCAAAGGTGCGGGATTACAGGCTGAGCCACCGAGCCTGGCTGCAAAAATGTTTTCTTAATATGGCCTATGATATTAGTTACATAGACTATTAGGTACAAGTATAACATATTTATGCACAGTTATGACACAACAAAATAATTCTGATAAAGTATCTAACTTTCCGTGCTCTTCTTTATCTTAATTAGGAAGAGTTAGAATGGGCAACCTGTTAGTTCTCAGGGCTTTACATGATTCAGAGACAATCAGATTCCATGGCATAGGACTTCGTTAATTCACACTTTGAAGTTTCTGAAGCACAGTAAACACGAAGGTTGGGGATAACCGCCCAGATATGGTGGGCTGGTCTGATGGAATGCTCCGGTGAAAATGCTTTACCCTCATCACCTCAGAGAAAGGTTTTGCTCTGTGAAGAGACAGCTCCACCGAGTTGGGATGGGAACCCTAGGTTCAAGAAACTCAGGTGGGCAGGAGAGGGTAACGAGAAGGGCAAAGGCTTTGGAGCCAGACGGACCAGGGTTCCAGACCCAGCTCTGCCACTTCCTGGCTGCATGACAGTGGGCGGGATGCTTCTCTTCCCTAGGTCTTGGCTTCATCTCAGGATGAGATGAGCAGCATGGATCCTGGCATAGCTCGAGTTTTCAGTAACTGATGGCTTATACGACAAAAACAAAAAATCAGCACACAGAAAACCTGAACCCTAACCCTGTGGCTCCTGCAGCCGAGAAACCAACCCTGAAGAAGGGAATGTATTGCTCCCCCAAATGCACATAGCCATGCGGCTGCTTCCTTTTAGAGAACTGTCTCCAGTTTCTTTCCTGCTTGGCTTGAGCAGTGGGTGGGAAAGAAGGACTCAAGAGACATACAGCCCAGTAACAACTGACATTCTGAGAAACACAATGACCTCATCAGGCTCACTCTTCTAGACGCATCACAAAAAACAATGGAACACCCCACCCTATTACCTCTAAGTACTTCCAGAATCATGTTATAACAGGGCGAACATTTTAACCCAGTTTTTTTCTCACTCCCATTATAAAAAAAATACACATGTTCCTAAGCATTTGGAAAATTCAGAAATGTATAAAGAAGTGGGAAAAGGCCTATATCCCAGCACTTTGGGAGGCCGAGGTGAGAGGATTGCCTGATCCCACAGGTTCAAGACCAGCCTGGGCAATTTGGCGAGACTCTGTCTCTACAATAAATCAAAAAATTAGCCAGGTGTGGTGGCCCATGCTTGTAATTCCAACTACTTGGAAGGCTGGGCAACAGTGATACTCCTACTCCAACAAAATAAAGCAAAACACACAAAAAAATGCTTAATGTAAACTTCACTTCTCTGATTATAAGCTGATAAAAAATTGCAATCTGACTCTAACCCAAACAAAACAAAACAAAGAAGTGGGAAACAAAACTACCTATATATATAATTGTACCACCTAGAGGTGATTTAACGTTAATTTAAATATAGGCTATATTTACAATTTTATTTTTATCTTATTTATTTATTTTGATTACGGGATCTCACTCTGTTGACCAGGCTGGAGTGCAATGGCACGCTCAAAGACATTATGGCCTTGACCTGCTGGGCTCAGGTCACACCACCATGCACGGCTAATTTTTTTTTTTTTTTAAGTTGGAGTCTCACTCTGTCACCCAGACTGGAGTGCAGTGGCTACTCCCGGCCACTGTAGCCTTGACCTGCTGGGCTCTGGCGATCCTTCCGCCTCAGCCTTTCAAGTAGCTGGATCTACAGGCACACGCTAACACGCCTGGCTAATTTTTTATTTATTGTAGAGATGAGGTCTCGCCAAGTTGCCCAGGTGGGTCTCGAACCCGCAGGCTCAGGCAATCCACTCAACTCTGCCAGCCAAAGCGCTGGGATTACAGGCTGAGCCACCAAGCCCGGTTACGGCTGATTTTTAAATTTATTTTAGAGACGAGGTCTTGCCAAGTTTCCCAGGCTGGTCTTGAACCCCTGGGCTCAGGCAATCCTCTTGCCTCTGCCTCCCAAAGTACTGAGATTACAAGTGCAAGCCATTGTGCCTGGCTTATTTACAATTTTATATTTCCTGTCTTTTTTTTTTTTTTTTCTTTTGAGTTGGAGTCTCACTCTTGTCACCCAGGCTGGAGTGCAGTGGCATACTCACAGCCACCACAGCCTCGACCTGCTGGGCTTAAGCGATCCTTCTGCCTCAGCCTTCCAAGTAGCCAGAACTATAGGCATGTGCTACCACACCTGGCTAATGTTTGATTTATTGTAGAGACGAGGTCTCACCAAGTTGCCCAGGCTGGTCTTGAACCCCTGAGCTCAGACAATCCTCTCACCTAGGCCTCCTAAAGTGCTGGGATTACAGGCTTGAGCCACTGTACCTGGCTATATTCCCTTTCTTTATGACAAAATATATGTTTTCTTCCTATGTCATTTGTTTTATAAGTTTAGTTTTTCAAGGCTTCAGAAAATTCCCCCAATAATGATCATGTTTAGGTTGTTTCCAATTTTTTCCTACTGTACTAATACCACTATGATCGTTTTTGTGACTAACACCTTGTCCCATTTTTTATCCTTTTTTTAGGATGATAAATAAGAATGTGCAGTTTCTCTTTTTCTAACATTCACGTGCTTATAATTACATAAAGTGTTGAGATGCACTAAGTTTTTGTTAATTGGACAGGTTAAATGGTATTTTTATGGTTGCTTTTTTCTATCTAACTATTTATTGCAAACACTTGCTATATGAATTGAAAAATGAATTTATACTATTTTCTCTTGATATTTATAATTTTTCTTTAAAGCCAGGGTCTCACTCTGTCACTCAGGCTGGAGTACAGTGGCATAATCACAGCTTGCCACAGCCTTCACCTCCTGGGCTCAAGTGATCCTTCTGCCCCGGCCTCTCAAGTAGCTGGGACTACAGGCACTCCCCAATATGCCTGGCTAATTTTTAAAAATTTTTTGTAGAGATGGGATCTTGCTATGTTGCCCAGGCAGGTCTCGAACTCCTGGCCTCAGGTGATAATTCCACCTCAGCTTCCCCAAAAGCAGGGGCAGCAGGCATGCTCCAACATGCCTGGGTAATTAAAAAAATTTTTTTCTGTAGAGACCGGGTCTTGCTATGTTGCACAGGCTGGTCTCAAATTCCTAGGTTCAAGCCATTCTCTCACCTCAGCCTCCCCAGGTGCTGGATTACCAGTATGAGCCGCCATGCCCAGCCTGATATGTGTGATTTTAATATCCCTCCCAGAGTTCAAATGTGTCCGGTCACTACAGATGTCTGTTAAGCAGCCTACCTGAGAATTTGAGCCAGAATCTTCTTTTTTGGTTTTTGGTGGTACTTTTGTGCCTACATTAAAAACAAACAAACAAACAAACCAAACAAAAACCAGGTTGAAACATCAGATGTGAAGGCCATTTAGTATTAGAAACCAACTGCTGGGTGGGAGAGTCCGAGTAAACAGTCTGGGCTTCTTCCTGCACTGGCTTCTTCCTGCACTGGCTGTTTCCTTGGCCTGCACTACTCTATCTGGGCTTGCTGACTTAAAGTGAAGAAGGAAGGATATACACTAGAGTCCATTTCTGTTTCAAAGTCTTTACTATTTCTTTTTTTTTTTGAAACTGGGTTTTGCTCTGTCGCCCAGGCTGGAGTACAGTGGTGTGATGGTAGCTCACTGCAGCCTTGAAGTCCTGGGCTCAAGCAATTCTCCTGTGTCAGCCTCTGAGTAACTGGGGTGATAGGTGTACAATACCACACCTAACTAAATTTTGTATGGAGACATGGTCTTGCCCAAATAGGTCATGAACTCCTGGCCTCACACAACATGGGAGGCGTGATCCTTCCTCCTCAGCCTTCTTAGCTGGAACTATAGGTGCACACCACCACTCACGGCTAATTTTTTTTTTTTGCCTCTGCCTCCTGAGCATGGGATTACAGGTGTGAGCCCTGCATCCAGCCTCTTGTCATTTCTTATGTGACGCTTTTGCTAATTATCTAAAACACCAAAAGCAGCTCCTTGAGAGAGGACCACAGTAATGACTCTCCCACACAAGTTACCATTTCAAAGTCAGTTTTCCCTCTACCTTAAAAAATATGACGATATGGATGATTAGGCAGTTTAAGTATAATCCTATATTTGGCTTGTTTGAATTAGGACATATCATAATAAAAAACCCATATTCTTGATACTCACTTGAGACACTTGCGGCAGACATGGGATAACCCTCAACCAGTTCCACAAAGTTCAGGGGGAAAATCCCAGTTCTGTCTCGAAGTTCTCCTCTGGCCCACTCTTCGTTCACATACCCTTTGAGAAGAATAACCTCTCCCTCTGAGAAGCTTAACTCATCCTTCTCGTCTCCAATATACTCAAACCGAGCCACACATCTCGGGCCTCTGAACAAGGAAGAACACATTTTGTAGGTTAAAAGAGAGAGGACTTTAAAAGAAAATCTTTTTTTTTTTTTAATAGAGAGGAAGTCTTGCTATGTTGCCTAGGCTGGTTGAACTCCTGGTCTCAAGCAATCCTCCTTCCTCGACCTCCCAGTGTTAGGACTACAGGCATGAGCCACTGGCCCAGCTGAGAATATTTTTTAAATGCTATAAAACCTTCATTCAGTTTTGAACTCCTGGCTTCAAGTACTGGCCTCCCAAAGCACTTGGAATTACAAGTGTAGGTCACCATGCCCAGCCTTTCATTCAGTCTTTCTTTCTTTTTTTTTTTTTTTGAGTTGGAGTCTCACTCTGTCGCCCAGACTGGAGTGCAGTGGCCATTCCCGGCCATCGCCGCCTCGACCTGCTGGGCTCCGGCGATCCTTCCGCCTCAGCCTTCCGAGTAGCCGGAACTACAGGTGCGTGCTACCACGCCCAACTAGTTTTTGACTTATTGTAGAAATGAGGTCTCGCCAAGCTGCCCAGGCGGGTCTCGAACCCACAGGCTCAGGCAATCCACCCACCTCAGCCTCCCAAAGTGCTGGGATTACGGCTGAGCCACCGAGCCCAGCTTCATTCAGTCTTTCAACAAATATTTATCCTGTTTTTACTGTGCAACAATGTATACTAGGCTAATTTTAATATTTTCCATGAAAAAGAGTAAGTTAGCCGGGCTCGGTGGCTCAGCCTGTAATCCTGCGCCTTTGGGAGGCTGAGGTGAGTGGATTGCCTGAGCCCGCGGGTTCGAGACCCACCTGGGCAGCAAGACCTCATCTCCACAATAAATCAAAAATCAGCCGGGCATGGTAGCGCGCGCCTGTAGTTCCAGCTACTCGGAAGGCTGAGGAGGAAGGATCGCCGGAGCCCAGCAGGTGGAGGCTGCGGTGGCCGGGAGTGGCCACTGCACTCCAGTCTGGGCAATGGTGTGAGACTCCAACTCAAAAAAAAAAAAGAGTAAGTTACATTTTTTAAATGACAGTGCTTTTTAGATATGAACCTATTCACTCAGAAAGGTTAAAGCTCAAGGTCACAGAGTAGCTGCAGAATTCCAGATAAGCAGCTGGGGGGTTAGCTAACTGCTCTCTGTCTTTGATCATCTTTACTTTATTACCATCTCCCCAGTTGCCCTGTGTTTATATCCTTGGGCAACAGCAACCCACAGCCTAGGCTGAAGCCTCTCAATCACAAATGCACTGAGTTTAAGAGTGAGTGCAAACCCTGAGAACCTCAGGGCAAGACATCAAACTTCCCGATCAAGAATCTGTACACTGAAGAGCTATCGAAGTAATGAAAACAAAAAATCAAACCCAAACAGAAGAATCTGGGCAGAATGCAAGGAATGTCAGACAGGCAGAGGAGATGTTCAATATTTGCTGAATCAATCAGTAACATGGCCTTCAAAACTAGGAAAAGTCCAGATAAAAGCAGCAACTCGGCACATTATAACATAGTCTTAGATCCAACTCTGTTCCTTTTTTTTTTCTTTTTTGAGTTGGAGTCTCACTCTGTCGTCCAGGCTGGAGTGCAGTGGCACACTCCTGGCCACCGCAGCATTGTTCTGCTGGGTTCAGGTGATCCTTCTGCTTAGTCTTCCAAGTACTTAGAACCACAGGTGTGCGCTACCACGCCCGGCTAGTTTTTGATTTATTGTAGAGACGAGGTCTCGCCAAGTTGCCCAGGCGGGTCTCAAACCCATGGGCTCAGGCAATCCACTCGCCTTGGCCTCCCAAAGCGTTGGGATTACAGGCTGAGCCACCGAGCCCGGCCATCTGTTACTTCTAAAAATGATTTTGTTTCTCCGTTAAAAAGGCTTCATTTCTGGGACTTGGAACAATCTTTCCATGATCTGCAAATTTGACTGAAAAATAAGATAAAATAAAATGGTGTCTCTGGAAGGTAGAATTTAACCCCAAACCTTTGATTTGAGTTTTTCGAAAGGAATTTTCGACAGCAATAGGCTAAGGAGAAATAACTGCCTAAACAGAAAAGGTTGAGTCGAGTTTCAAGCAAATTCCGATTTGAGTCAGGTCAGTGGATCAATGACTGTAAAAGGCCACTTCAAATTCTGCCTGCTTATGGTGTACGCTGCTTAAACATAGGAGGGAAGTGGAACCTGAGATAGAATTCGATTATTGTAGCATTAGAAGTTTTCTTATTTGTGATAACCTTTGCATTTATTTTCTAAAATCCTCTGGGAGCAACTTCTTATGTCTGACCTATCCATAGACAGGTTTACTGGCTTCAGCAGGGAATGAATTCTAGTAATTTGCTCATTTAACTAGAATATAAAGTTGCACTGTGGCAGTGTTTTAAATCACAAAGGAGTTACAGAGACTCATAAAAGGGTACACACTTTTGGGGAAAGGTCCTCAGAGATTAAGGAAGACTCCTTCGACTTAATTCTTCCCTCACTCTCTTCTAGTTCTTTTTTATTTTTAATTCTTTGAGTTGGAGTCTCACTGTCACCCAGGCTGGAGTGCAGTGGCACGATCACGGCTCATCACAGCCTTGACTTCCTGGGCTCAGGCAATCCTTCCACTTCAGCCTCTCGAGCAGCTGGGTCTAGAGGTGTGTACCACCAGGCCTGGCTAATTTTTTGACTTTTTATAGAAATGAGGTCTCACTATGTTGCTGAGGCTGGTTTTGAACTCCTGGGCTCAAGCAATCCTCCTGCCTTGGCCTCCCAAAGTTCGTGAGCCACTGTGCCTGGCTTCTTAGTCCTTCTTAAGAACAAAATAGGCTGGGCGCAGTGGCTCAAGCCTGTAATCCCAGTACTTTGGGAGGTTGAGGCGAGAGGACTGCCTGAGCTTGGGGGTTTGAGATCAGCCTGGGCAATGTGGTGAAACCTCGTCTCGACAATAAATCAAAAAATAAACCAGGAGTGGTAGCGCATACCTGTGGTTCCAGCTACTTGGAAGGCTGAGGCGGAAGGATCGCCTGACCCCAGCAGGTTGATGCTGGGGTGGCCGTGAGCATGCCACTGCACTCCAGCCTGGGTGACAGAGTGAGACTCAACTCAAAAAAAAGAAAAAAGAAAACAATATAAAATGTCTAGCAACCTTTGTAGGATTCATTTTTCCCTATATTTCCCATGACAAATGTATTTGAACCTTCTAAAAACTTGGTAGATAAACACCAGGCGACCAAACAAAGATGCCGGGGATGATGAAACCATCTCTGCTCCAGCAGAGGCCAGGCTGAGGCAGGATCAGGATAGATACTTCTCTCTCTGCCTTGTTGCTGTGTCCTACTCTGATGTGGAGAGTCGCTTGGGGCAGCTTCTATCAGCATGCTGCGTTTTCATCAGAATTTTAATCCATTATCACTTTTTCAATGAGTAGAGTTTTCCTCATAATTCAAAAGACACACCGAGCATCTGAATCATCATCACACATGTGAAGTGTTGAAGGTTGGTCATTCTCCATGATACAAATGGTTGCTTCCTTGGCATTTGATACAAAAGGACACACGTAAGACTTACTTAACACAGTAAGATGAAACCGAGTCTCTCTTCCCATTTCCTCCTTCTGGAATATCAACCTAGTAAAGACAAAATCAGGATAACAACTGTATTTTTTCAGATACATTTTAAAGATAAATTTAAGGTTAAAGATAAATTAGGAAATGCATGGCTGAAACCAACCAGCTTGGCGAGGTGTTACACTGATTACGTGGAAACACAGGTGCTAAATGGTAAGAGACACTGAATTTGTATTTTGAAAAAATGCATAACTTGGCCGAGCACAGTGGCTTAAGCCTGTAATCCCAGCACTTTGGGAGGCTAAGATGAGAGGATTGCCTGAGCCCACGGGTTAGAGAATGGCTTGGACAACTTGGCAAGACTGTATCTCTATAATAAATAAAAAAATTAGCCAGGCATGGTAGCGTGCACCTGTAGTTCCAGCTACTTGGAAGGCTGAGGTGGAAGGATCGCCGGAGCCCAGCAGGTTGATGCTGGGGTGGCCAAGAGCGTGCCACTGCACTCCAGCCTGGGCGATGGAGTGAGTCCAACTCAAAAAAAAAGAAAAAAAAAAGAAAAAATGTAAACTATTGATGTAGCCTTCCTCAAGTGGCCAATCAGTCCTTTCCCTATCTTCAACTGGAATAAGCACATGAGTGTCATTCTACTCCTGTGTTTTCTCTATCCCAAGTTCTCCAAGTTAAAAGCTGCAGCTGAGAAGGACTTCAGATAGAAACCAGGCAACAGGCAGGCATGCTGCCAGGCATCAGTCCCCTACACCCACTCCAGGTGTCGGAGGATTCTGCAATGCTTCCCTGACCCCAGAATAAAACATTTCCATCAAAATTGTAGATTCTCTCCATATTGGTAACTCTGGAACACTTTCCCCTTCGGTGTGAATGAAGAAGGAAGAGAGGAATTCGTATTTAGTGAGCATCTACTAAGTGGCAAGCACATTGCAGAATACCTAGTTTGCGGAGCTTGATAAAGCTGGGATGTAATAAAATAGTTGACCATAATGCATGTAGACAGACACTACTTAAGGATTTGAGGTTTATATTAAATAAATCAGTGTCCTTCTTGTTGAGTTCTAAAGGTTGGAAGCTTTAAGACAATTTTTAAACCTGTGGGCTTAGAAATAACACTTATACCAATAATGTACAGACTTGGTGTGATGGATTTCAGAGTGTAATTGTGCTTTTTAAAGTGCTGCTACATTGGGTGGAAGAAAAATGAGGACGAGTGCTAAAACTAACATTATTCTTAATATTAATTTAGAGAATGTGGTTGAATTTCTCCAAAGAATCAGAACACATATACACTGGACAATTTTTAAGACCTACATTTTACAATCCACGAGACTCAAACTCATTCCTATTTGAAAAAGATAGATTTTCTGTTTAGACTCGTTTTCTAAATGTCTAGTATAATGGAAAATTATTTGCTTTTTCCCCTCCAAATAAGCTGTGAATGCCGAGCTCTTTAAGCTAGCTTTATTGATGTTTCACAGGATCAATAAGTTACATGAGGGACTGAGTCATCTCATCCTCTTCCTATTGATATAAATGTCTGAGGGGTGGTCTGAGCTCATCTCTGTGTTTCACAGCCAGCTGGGCTTAGCGTGTAAAGCTCCCACACACGGGTGCTTTCACAAGTCAGGCCGTGAGAGCGTGTAAGTTTCTGATTTTTTTTTTTTTGGAGTCAGGGTCTCACTGTCACCCAGGCTGGAGTGCAGCAGTACAATCATGGCTCACCACAGCCTTGACCTTCTGGGCTCAAGTGATCCTCCTGCATTATAGCCTTCCAAGTGGCTGGGACTACAGGTACATGCCACCACATCTAGCTAAGTTTTTGATTTTTTTGAAGAGTAAAGGTCTCGCTATATTGCCTGGGCTGGTCTTGAATTCCTGGCTTCAAGTGATCCTCCCACCTTGACCTCCCAAATTTCTGGGATCACAGGCATGAACCACTGTGTCTGGCTAAATTCTGATGCTTTAATACAATGTTTCCGATCAGATTAGAAATTATTATATGAGAAACCATTAGTGACCCACTGTCTCCAATAAAAATATTTTAATATTCCTAAGTTGATTTTTTAAAAAGATGGAGATAAATGGGAATGGAAAAGATGAAAGAAAGCCAAAACAAAAGGCACTCCAAGCAGTGCCATGACCTCAGAGAACATCTCTACAGGATAATCTCTACAGCATCTTTCAATCTTTGTTTACTAAATGTCTCAAAGAATTAACATATATCCTTAAGTGTTTAACAACACTCCAAGAACAGCCAATTCCCCAGTTGGCTTGTGATAGTCTTTCACTTAGGATTTTAGACAGCATTTAGGCATTAAGTTCTAATGCCCTATAATCTAATAATAATGAACCATTACCCAGTTGAACAAATCTTATTTTTGAATTTTCCAAGTGCCAAATGAATCAGTAGATGAGAAAGAACTAGCACCCAAGAATCTAGGTTTCTGGTTATTTTTTCCAATTTACAAGTCGCATCGAACCCACATGTGACCATTTATAAATCACTGCCCACTTACAATGACTTTGACGTAATTGGCAGGAAATATGCCAATCTGGTTTCCACAATTTCCTCTGTACCAATCTGCATCTATCTTTTCCAGAAGATAAACAATTTCTCCAGAAGTGAGCTTCAGATCATCAGCTTGCTCTGCAATGTACAATTATGGTTATGGATGATGAATTATCCCAGTTGCAGATTTGATTGGAGCACAAAGTAGCATTTTGTTCTGTCTACTGAGGCAGTTATGTTCTACTGATTCTGAGAACAGATTATACTAATCACATGGGCTTTTAAAAAATATTATTGCTTTTTTGGATATTGTTATGAACACCCTTTTAAAAGACCATATTGGACATTCCTATCATGCAGTGTTCCGGCCAGTGATTCCTATTGTGCCAATATTAACCCCTTGCTGAATACAGTCTAAACAATGAGAGGGTTGTATAGACATGGTATAGTATTCTTATGGCTCTCAATCATGCTTAAAAATTATTCCAATTGCAAATATTAACTAAGGGAGTACTACAGCTCTTTTAGCAAGTAAATTTACCCACACTAAAATAAAAATCAGTCTACCAAATGGATTTAAAAAAAGATTATAAATAAATCAGGAGTTTATTTGTAGTCTTAGATATGAAGGGTATATAAAAATTGATTACAAAAATATTTGTATTTTGTTTTCATAGGTATGCAGCAGCTGAGACAACTCTTCAAACTAAAGTACTTCACTTACCAAGTTAGAATTAGCTTCATTACAACTGTTTTGAAAGTGTTTTTTGAAAGTACTCACTATTTTGAAAGTGTTAAAAAGTCTGCAACTGGTAGGTGCTTTGCTATTGCTCTCCCACTCAGGGAATTTCAAAGGGAAGGATATGTAACTAAGCGTTCCAGAATGGCTGTGTGTATCGACCCTTCCTAAAGGTGCTGTGCTGGGAAGATGACCTCTCCAATTCAGGACTTTATAGGCAAAGACCATAAAGAAGGATGTCCTTGAGAGGTTACCCCAGGGGGGATGCCGTGCCCTTGATCTTATGGCTCTATCACTTTATTTATTTACTTTAGGGTTGTGGGGTACAAGTGAGGATTTCCTACATAAGTAAGTTGCATGCAGGTGAAGTTTGGGTTTCTAGCTGGCCACCTCTCCCCCGACAGTGGACCAGGTGTGTTGCCACATGCTGCCCCTCCGTCCTCTCCCCCTCCCTCCTTCCCCTAGCAGTGTCTACTGATCTCACCCTTGTGCTCATGTGACCAGAAATCAGGGCCCTCTTATGAGTGAGAACATGTGGTGTTCAGTTCTTTGTTTCCGTGATAGTTCACTTAGTATAAGGGTTTCCAGCTGCATCCATGATGCTGCGAAGGCCATGATTTTGTACTTCTTTATGGCTGCATAATAGTCCATCATTTTACCACTTTGTTATTTATGTCCTTACCCGCTGGAAAATCATGAAGAACGACAGCATGCGGAGTACTACCATCAACAGGCTTCCAAGTGTGGCCTGGACCCTTAGGGGAGAAAGCAGGGCAGTAACGAAGCGTGCAGGATTGAGGGTGGATTTATTATTCACTCTAAGATCATTTTTTTCTCTTTAGAGTCCTATTATGAGTACAAGATGCAAATTATACAATTGAGTCAAACAATGGAATCACTGCCAAGTTGAAAAAGAATGTGTCCTTGCCAAAGGAGGAGGGAAGTAACTCCCAATTAAAATATCCCCAGCAGGTTTTGGTTTTGTATTTATTTATTTTTTTGAGTTAGAGTCTCACTCTGTCGCCCAGGCTGGAGTGCAGTGGCATGCTCACGGCCACCCTGGCACCGACTGCTGGGTTCCAGCGATCTTTCCACTTCAGCCTTCCAAGTAGCCGGAACTACAGGCACGTGCTACCATGCCCAGCTAATTTTTAAAACTTATTGTAGAGACAAGGTCTTGGCAAGTTGCCTGGGCTGGTCTTGAACCCTCAGGCTCAGGCAATTCATTTGCCTCAGCCTCCCAAGGTGCTGGGATTACAGGCTGAGCCACCAACCCCAGCCTATTTTTGTATTATTAAACTGAGAGAAGTAACACAAAAGGAAACTGCTTAACTTTGTGTCTTTTAAATAGTACCTATCCTACCCCGAAATAGTGATTTTTAGCCTCCCTTTCCCTTTCAAGGGAAGCTTTTTCCTTACACTGTGATCAGGACCTTCACAGCAGAGCTTCAAGGGGGTAGGGAAAGAAGAAAGTTCTGCAATTGATGCTCTTGCCTCTTGTAATGAAAGGAGCTAATAACGTTCCACAAAAGTCTAATTCACAAAGAGTGAAATCCATTGCATCTATTACCATTTAGCTAAATGCATCCTCTAATCTGAAAGCAACGCTACCACCCATGTCTAGTCTGTGTTTTGTATTTTATCTGAATGGCTTATTCAACAGTAATTCTACATAAATTAGCAAAATGAATCTAATATTCTCGACCCCTCTAGCCAATTGCATGTGTTAGCTGGAGGAGAGGGTGATGTGGAAGAGTGACCTTTTCTCACTGACAAGCAGTTGTTACTATTAATTTCTTTCTATGAAGAGACAGGCTTACCCATCATCATCCTCATCATCATCATCAAATCGGACTGAAGGGGGTTACTTGGAGTTACATCTTAAAACTCCTCTACATTGGCAAAGCTGGGAAATAAACAAAGGTGGATTTCTGTGCCCTCTTGTTACTTCATGTCCTTCAGTCCCTTCGGGACATCTAGACTCAGCTAGGCTTCTGCTCTTTCCTGACCCTGAGGCTCTGAGTTGACCAGACTGCACTGTGAGTGATGGTTAACTTTCTCTGTTCAACCCTGCAGTACCTTTGCTTGGATCTTTTCTGAATTCCACCTGCTCTTCCAACCAAAATGTACCCGCAGAAACAAACTGTATTCTCTCAAGTTAGGTAAACTGAAATATAAGTTAAGACAGTTCACAGCTCATGCAGCACACTGTATGAGCTTACCAAGGCAACATTCACATTTTCTCATGGACTGTTCAATGCTTCTCCCTAAAATAAATGAGCAAAATGGAAATTTCCAGAATTGTGGAAAGGAAATTATGAGATATTTTAGGGGTGGAGTGACTTTTAAAAATTATTATACTATAATAAAAGGATTGGCAGTAGCGGGAAACTGTAGGGGGGCGAGGGGGGCAGAGAGACGGGATTGGCAGCAGTGAGAATCTGCTTGGGGAAGGGGGCACATCTTATCAACAAGGGTACCTGCATAATGAATATTTGTATACCTAACCCTGAATTGTACCTCACATCTTTAAAGTAAAAAAATTAAAAGTTAAAATAAAATAAAAAATAAAACAAAAAATTTGGAAGAACTAAAAATAAAAATAATTATTAGTCTAGGTATGGTGGCTCACGCCTGTGTCCCAGCACTTTGAGAGACTGAGGTGAAAGGATTCCTTGAGCCCAGGAGTCTGAGACCAGCATGGGCAGCATACTGAGACTTCGTCTCTACAAAAAAATTAAAAAATTAGTCGGGTATGGTGGCGTACACCTGTAGTCTCAGTTACTGGAGAGGTTGAGGCAGAAGGATCACCTGAGCCCAGAAGTTGGAGTTGTGGTGAGCCATGATTGTGCCACTGCACTCCAGCCAGGATGATAGACTGAGACTCCAACTCAAAAAAAAAAAAAGAAAAAGAAAAAAATTATTATTTACATAATCTATTATGTGTGTATATGATTATGATTTTTTTCTGATTTACATCTGAGGGAAAGAAGGAATGACTGGTCAATACAAGGTGTTAGGCTAGATGTCTGTTTGGAAAAAAATGATTTCAGAGACCAACCCTACACCAAACAAGCGTCTCAAAATGGACCAAAGATCTAAACACAACCATGTCTGGAAGGGAGGGGTAATGACTTGCACCTCCCACTGACACGGTTTTCCTTCTCTGTCTTCCATGTACAGAAATCTGCTCATTGACCTGGCCTGCAAGGTGAAGGGCAAGAGGACAGGTGAGACAGGGGACCCACAAGCCATCAGTGCAATTCCCACCACACCACCGCGATGGCTACCAGAAGGGTCCACCTAAGACCGTTCGAAGGTCTCTAAGATGACCGTAAATACTAATACAAATGGCTTTATAATACAAGGAATAGGTAATATTTACCGTTCATTCATTGTGTGCTACTCACTGTGTTAAACACTTTATATGTATTAGCTCACTTAATTTGTTAAACATCTTTTTTTTGAGTAGGAGTCTCACTCTGCTGTCCAGGTTGGAGTGCAATGGCATGCTCATGGCCACCACCGCCTCGACCTGCTGGGCTCAGGTGATCCTTCTGCCTCAGCCTTCCAAGTAGCTGGAATCACAGATGCACGCCACCACTCCCAGCTAATTTTTTTAATTTATTGTAGAGACGAGGTCTCACCAATTTGCCCAAGCTGGTCTTGAACCCTTGAGCTCAGGCAATCCTCTCACCTCTGACTCTCAAAGTGTGAGATTACAGCCGTGAGCCACCATGCCCGGCCTATTAAACCTCTTTGAGATACAATTTACATACAATAAAAATGCACTTGTATAAGCATACATGGTTTTAGTATATGCATAGAATTGTACAGCTGTCACTACAATCTAAGTTTAGAACATTTGTATCACCCCAAAGAGAAACCTCTTACCCATCCGACGTCACTCCCCATTCCCTACCCCATTGCCTGGCAACTGCTAATCTACTTTCTGTGTCTGTGGATTTACTGATTCTGGACTTTTCTACAAATGGAATCATACAATATGTCAACTCTCAAGACAGTTCTGTGAGGAGTTGTACTTATTTCACACATCAGAACATGAAGGTTAGAGGTTAAAGAACTGCCCCAGGAGGTAGAAGGGAACTGAACTCCAGCTCCCTGAGACCCAGGTCTGGGCTCTCAATCACGCCCTGGGCAACAACCTCCCATGGTCTGTGGGACTCCATCACAACTGGTAATGCTCGATATTTTCTGTTTACCAAGTCAGGGGAAAGTATGACACATTCTTAGAGATATGTACCTTCAAACAAGGCTTTCACACAGGTAAGTTTTATTTTCTAAACTATACTGACAGCCATGAGCCCAGAACCCTAAAGGAGGGTTAATTTCATTATCACCCACAGTTGGCCAATGAAGGCCAATCTCTGTGAGGCCATGGGACAAGAAGAGAAGGTGATGATTTTGGACTGTTACAAAAGAATAACTTCCAATTTTTTTTAGCTTTTATTTTTCACAAAGCAAAGCTTTCTGGCAGTTTAACTCCCACTGTTGCCCTTGGTGTGTTCTGAAAGAGGAAAGACAGCTATGACAGATGGATAATGCTGTAGGAAAACAGAGAAAATGAGTAATAGAACTTCCCCCGTGTGAAATAAAGTAACAATTTTCATATGCCAGCTACAACTAGCTTAACGCATATGTTCTCTGCTCTCCAAGATACCAATTTTTAGTTTCTTAGTAAACTTCAAAAGATAAACTGCCTTCTAAGAAGAAAAAGTTGGACTAGATTATGAAAACTAGGACGCATGGCAAACCAAACACTTGGGTTGAATAATTGGTGGGTATTATTTTTCATATTTACTGCAATAGCTAACAGATAGTGAAATTTTAACTGGATAACTTAAGCTGTTTTATAAGTATACCTCAGACCAGGCACAGTGGCTAATCACCCCAGCAATCCCAGCACTTTGGGAGGCTGAGATGGGAGAATCGCTTGAGTCCAGGCGTCTGAGACCAGCCTAGGCAACATAGTGAGACCCTGTCTCTATCCAAAAAAAAAAAAAACCCAGGTGTGATGGTATGCCTGCAGTCCCAGCTACTCGGGAGGCTGAGGCAGAAGGGTCACCTGAGCCCAGGAGGTTGAGGCTGCAGTGAGCCATGATTGTGCCACTGCACTCCAGCCTGATGGACAGAGTAAGACCCTAAGTTAAAAAAAAAAATTTCTCTCCAAATCGTTCAACAGAAGTTTATTTGCAAAGCAAATAACTTTCAGTAATCACAGGTCCCATAAATTTGTTAGGTCTCAATTGTAACTTGAGGTTGTCAGATTACAATTTTTTATCAGCTTATAATCAGAGAAATGAAGTTTACATTAAGCTTTAAGCTTTTTTTTTTGGCGTAGTCTCACTCTGTTACCCAGGCTGGAGTGCAGTGGCACAATCATGGCTCACTGCAGCCTCAACCTCCTGGGCTCAGGTGATCCTTCTGCCTAAGCCTTCCAAGTAGCAGGAACTACAGGTGTGCGCTACCATGCCCGACTAATTTTTTGATTTATTGTAGAGACGAGGTCTCGCTACGCTTGCCAGGCTGGTCGCGAACCCCTGGGCTCAGGCAATCCTCTCGCCTCAGCCTCCCAAAGTGCTGGGATTACAGGTTTGAGCCACCACACCTGGCCAAGCTTAAATCTTAAAGGGAACTGCATTTTAATGTCAGACTTTCATTCTGCTCAGAAATGATTCTCTGGCACTTTGGTAAATATGTTTACATTATTTAAAAAACAAACAGCTCTCACAGTGGAAAATTAATGACTGGAGTATTCTGCTAGCTGTAAGTCTGCGCATTAGGAAGAAGGCAAAACACACGGTCGTCACTGTGTGTGAAATGATTAGTACGGTGGTGGCAAGTCTCTTAGAAGTCATTTATTCTAAAATTGGAATAAATGCTACTGTCATTTTTACTCTGGTTAAAATAGACGTGCTAATAAGAACTTGAAGATGAGACGTGATGAAAGTTCTATGAAATGCACTGTGTGTGATCTGACTCTGTGCAGTATGAGTAACTCACGTCTGGTCTGCTTCTAGGACGGTCATCAAGTGGAGTGACGATCTTCATCTGAGAGAGGTGAACTCTGCCAGTCTCTCCTCCCTTTTGGCATTCCAAGTAATTATCTTCTGCTTGCCTCAGCATCACGAGGACGTCTCCATGCTGTAAGGCACAACACCACTCTGAAGCAAGTATTGCTTAATAAAACATGATGACTTTTTTTCACATTTTAATCTTTGGAGCCCAAAGCACTTAATCATGTATAATAGCAGTAACAGAGGCCAGTTGCTTTCTCCATCAGGCAGTAAAGAAGGAGCTCTGCTTTACCTTACAAGCGAGTTCTCCGGGGTTCTGGGAGACAACATCTTCACTGGCAATTCCATGAGGCACAGACAGCTTGAATGTAAACCAATAAAAGGATTATTCACAATCAAATAGCCTCCTCCAGAGTTGCGAATCATTTAGGTATTTGGCATGTGTGTGCCTTCGTGCAACTTCTACAGAAGTGAAACTCCATCTGGCTTCTTCGGCGTGTTGATCTAACGGGGCCGCCATTTCTCATGGAGACTAAAAGCTCTTGGGAGTTGGAGCTGAGTCCACAGGTCCACAAGGGCTGGATGTGGCCCAAAGTTCTCTCTAACAACCATAACCAGGAAGCTCCATTCTATAGGGCAAGGTCCACCCAGACTCATGGGGTCTGAAGGATAATACTTAGCATCTGACCTCACAGTCTGTCAAGGCACTTCTTTCTGTTTGTTTGTTTTGAGTTGGAGTCTCATTGTGTTGCCCAGGCTGGAGTGTAGTGGCATGATCACGGCTCACCGCAGCCTCGACCTCCTGGACTTAGGTGATCCTTCTGCCTTAGCCTCCCAAGTAGCTGGAACTACAGGCATGTACCACCAAGCCTGGCTAAATTTTTTAATCTTTTGTAGAGTCAGGTTCTCACTATGTTGCCCAGGCTGGTCTTGAACTGGACTCAAGCAATCCTCCTGCCTTGGTCTCCCAAACTGCTGGGATTACAGGTGTGAGAAACCATGCCCAGCCAAGGCACATCTATGATTCAGGGTTGTCACAATGGAGGCCTTCTGAAGGCTGAAAGGTGGTGGATACCCTTTGTGTACTGTCTGTTTGACTGCCTCTACTTACCTGGAATCTCTTCCCCTCCTAAGGTTTCTCTGATACCAAGGTCTACTTAAGTCCCTTGAGGAACCCAGTCACTTCCTGGTCCTTAGCCCTGTCTGAGCTTAGAATGGTTTTTACAACTGCATCCCACCTTGGCCCTGGCTTGATATATTTTGGCTGGTGAGTGCAGATCAGAGGGTCTGTACAATACATAAGGCATGTTCGGGCAATGAAATCACACAAGCTCACTTCCAGAATGGGGTAGGAGGCTGCCTGGGTCCTTGGATCACTTGGGAACAAAGATGTTGAGTGCAAGGATGGGGCCCCATAAGGCTAGGTTTGGTGCCACTTCCCAGCATCTCTGTCAGAGTCCTGAGGCTCCAATGTACCCAGATTCCTGCCTAGCAATTCAGTGGTAGGGTAGCCACCGACAAAATGAGTATTTAAGGAATTATTTTGTAACAAGAATACTGCTCTAAATATACCATCATTTGGAATATGCTGAGTTTTAAAAATGCTTTATTGACATTATACAACTATGCTAAGAACCGTAAGTGGGCCAGCCTCAGTGGCTCAGTGGGCCAGCCTCAGTGGCTCCCACAGTACTCATCCCAGTACTTTGGGAGGCCGAGGCAAGTGGATTGCCTGAGTCCGCGGGATCGAGACCAGCCCAGGCAACTTGGCAAGACCTTGTCTCTATTAAAAAAAAAAAAAAAAAAAAAAAAAAAAGCCGGACATGGTAGCACGCGCCTGTAGTTCTGGCTACTTGCAAGACTGAGGCAGAAGGATCACCGGAGTCCAGTGGGTTGTCATTGGGGTGGCTGTGAACATGCTATTGCACTCCAGCCTGGGCGACGGAGTGAGACTCCCAACTCAAAACAAAACAAAACAAAAAAAGAACCATAAGTGAAATCTGGTTCTCCTGAGTAAGGACTCTTAGCATCCTAGCATAAAATGGCCAAAGCAAGCAGAGGCTACAACTAGAAATACTATTTTCATAGTATGGTCTAATGGTTAGGGGCACGGGTTCAGAGCCAGATAATCTGTTTTCAAGTCCCACTCAAACCATTAACTGGCTTTGTGACCCCAGCATGTTATTTAATCTCTGTCTTATTTTCCTCATTTGTACAATAGCTCCCTCACAAGGTTGGCATTAGGAACAAATGAGTTATTTAATATATATCAAATGCTTCGAACAGTGTCTGCCTCGCAATTAGCACCCAATACACATCAGCTACTGTTTTTATTTATTTATTAAGTAATCTATTCCAAAGAACACTCTTGGGCTTTAGCAATTAATATTTCATCAGTTTAAATGAATATGAATATACCATCTCCTTTACTGTTTATACCCTTCTCTAAGGAGGATTTCTATTTCATTTATTAATTATCTCAATTATTGATAAAAACTTTTAACTGGTAACTGTTAAGTGGATCATGATAATCAGGCTCACAAAAAGGGGTAACTGAGGGAAAAAACCATCCATCTTAATAAAATTTTACTCAGTGTGCAAAGTAGCTAAAAGATATAAACGATATCAAGATATAAACTATAAGTCAGGTGTGGTGCCATGTGCCTGTAGTCCCAGCTACTTGGGAGGCTGAAGAGGAAGAATTGCTTGAACCCAGGAGGTCGAGGTTGCAGTGAGCCATGATTGTGCTACCACACTCCAGCCTGAGTGATAGAGTGAGACCCTGACTCAAAAAAAGAAGAAAAAGAGACCTAGGTTTTATTATGACTTTCTTTCTTTCTCTCTTTCTTTTTTGAGTTGGTGTCTCACTCCGTTGCCCAGGTTAGAGTGCAGTGGCACGCTCACAACCACCCCAGCGTCAACTTGCTGGGCTCCAGCAATCCTTCGCCTCAGCCTTCCAAGTAGTCCAAAGTACAGGTGTGCGCTACTGTGTACGGCTCATTTTTGATTTATTGTAGAGATGAGGTCTCACCAAGTTGCCTGGTGTTGGTCTCAAACCTGTGGGCACAGGCAATCCACTTGCCTCAGCCTCCCAAAGTGCTGGGATTACAGCCTGAGCCACTGAGTGCGGCCTAGTATGGCTTTCTTATAGCACTCTGAGAGCCAAGGGACACTTCTTCCTTTGTTTCATCATCTTTTTTCCAAGGAATAATGGATCTTATATACCAGGGGTGCCAAAAAAAATGTATACACATTTAAGAGATATCATCTATGCATTACTTTTAGTTTGCCATAATTGGAAGTGTCTGGACACTGATGGGAACCACTCTGAGCGCTTCAAACGTGACTTGCTCTCATCTTTTGCTATCTGTGTGTATTGAAAATTACAATTTTAGTAATTTTTTTCTTTTCTTAAAATGTATACTTTTTTTGGCCACAAACATCGTTAAAAGCTAAATTTACCATGTATTTACTGTAGAGAGGGTGTCCTGGTTTGGGACGAGGGGGTAGCACCGGGTCTTGAGTTTTAAAGACTTGACTCTTGGCTTTCGGGAGTCCGGATGCCAAGTTACTTTGTTTTTTCTGAAGAGCCATCTCAGAAGAGGATCGATCAAAAGGCAGTTTTTTACTTGATGCTCTGGTTGCAGAAAGCTTGGGGGGAGGTGGCCTCTCAGGAGGGGCCTTGGGAGGAGGTGGCCGGATTGCTGTGGTCTTTCCATTGGCAGGTCTGAAAGTCAGTGCAGAGCCACAAGTCAGGGTTTATATCAGTGTCAGATTCTGTTCTGTCCTTTCTTACATATATATGCATGCGCGTGCGCGCGCACAAACACACACTCACACACACAGCTTTCCGCCCGCGGAATACAATTTATGGAAACATGCAGGGTATGCTATTTTTGAGCCAACAGTTGCTGCATTAAACATCATATTATTAGAGGAAATGTCATGATGTTCCAGCCTCCTTTTATCTGGCGCTAGAGATTCATTAGTTCAAAACAAACAAGCACTTGCTATTATGAGCCCCCCCAAGGCCCCATTTGCTCTTAAACACATCATGACTATGTCAGGAAATGAAAGCACTTTCCACCAAAGGCAGAGAGGAAACGCTTATAATAAGACATCAGGTATATGTGCTGGGGTCTCATACATGATTAGAAAAGAAACATCAAAATCCCCTAATATTCATATTATAGGAGTTACTATTAAAACCCTAATTTAGATTAATATAAAGAAAGCTAGTTCTGAAAATGGGATAGGACAACCATTACTTTGAAAGCCTTTCCTTAATCCCTGTGACAGAAATAATTTCCAATATAGTAATGTCTTCGGATAGCGTTATGGCCCTTTGTTCAGACAGCTCTGAGCAAAGGAGACAGGTCACCTTGAGTTCACAAACCCTGTCCGCTTTGGAAATGCCCCAAACCAGTCCTGCCTCTCTGAACTGGGAGGGTGTTTGTGTGCATGTGTGTATTCCAGAGGTGGAGTTGTTTTAGGTTCATAAAAGAGTGTTGTTCCTTTGTCTGAGGGAAAGTAATAGTGATCCAATTTGTGCTCTATGAGTTTTTGGGCTGGGTCAAAAGGAAAAAAAGGAGCAGAGAGTCCCACAGCCTGCAGTCAGAGCAGATGGTAACCTAGGGTTGGCAGCCTGGGTGAATTATTGAGAGTATTATATTTCTCTAAGGACAAAAATACCAGTCTTGGTTGTAGAAAAGAGAGCTAGGTCTTTGAGCCCTTCGTTTTTTTCTAACTTTTCCCACACTTACTTACCTTGGTGGCAACCTTGGGGGTCCTCGCACAAAACCTCCAGCGTGACCAGTGTGGCTGGACCCCTGCAAGTATCAGAGAAGGCTTTTTAGTTAAGGCTGATCGGAAACAAGAGCTTATCAAGAGGAATTCTGGACAACTTTTTGGCTGGATCTGTAAGTAGAAAGGTAGTCAAGCTATAAAAAGTATCTTAAAAAAGCTTTCAGACTTCAACAATATCATCTCGCTCCTCCCTAAATTACCCATGTCCTAAGACAAGGGAAAACACTGGGAGAAAGAAAACAAGGGGCCACGGTCTGACTATTTGTACTGTGTGGATTCATGAGATGGGAAGAGACCATGTAAGCAGGCACCAGAGGGAATTCTAAAATAGATGGTCTTTATTCATCCTGTGATCACATGTAAGAAATGTACTGTTCCTATCTTCCAACACCTAGTAAAAGAGGGGGTTATTAGTTTGTTTTACCCTGCACGGGTAGATTTTACCTCATCACTGGATGGTTTCACTGTTTTGCAGTGGGTTTTGCACTAGAAGAGGGCAGGAACATTAAGGAAGCTTAAGGGCTGGTCTGAAAGGCATGTGATGAGGAACAGTGAAGGCCAAGAAAGAAGAATGTCTGGATCGTTACAGCAGAGGGAGTGGGTGGGTTGAAAGGAATTGTGGGAAAGAAGGAAAGAGTAAAGGGGAATAATGTAGGGGAAGAAAAAAAAGAGACAGGTGCAGTTGGGATGTGTGATCCTAACAGTAGTTGAGAGAAATTGAAAGTGTGGCAATTAATAGGAAGATTTCTGTAGGGGAAGGGAGTCAAGCTGTTCTGTTTAAATAGGTTTTCTGAACATGTTCTAGCCCAAGGATGGAGGAATAAATATAATACATGAGAATATTTTCAGATCTTCTGTTACTGGGAAGTTAAATGATCTTAACGTCTGTTTTTTTGGGAAAAGTCCTCACTAAATTCTTCTGATTCTGATATGTCTCTTCTTTTTGCCTTTTCCACTTTCTAAATCCCCAATTCTGACACCCAGGAAGTCATATTTCTTCAAAATTTCATAAGGGAAAAAAATGCTAGCCCTTTACAATTACGTTGCCTTTTTTCGTAAAGGAGGTTTTACAGCTTGTGAATCTTTGGGCTGCTTCAGACTGCTTTCTTCCTTTTTATCTTAAAGATGAGCTAAAACTCACCTTTTTGATTTTTACTTCATACTGAATATTTACAACTCCTCCTTAAATACCAAATGATTAATGGCCAATAACCATGATCATTTGAACATGTTTCAATGTTTTAAAATCCCATTTAAAAAAACAAATTAAGCTTGCCCTTAAAACTTGGTTTCACTAATGAGTTCAGTTAATGAAGTGAGGCAAGTCACAGGCTCATAAACCCAGCAATATTCCAGAGAATAATCCATGCCTTGTAAATACACTGCTGTCTGTATTTCTTCCTGACAAATATTACTAGGATGTTTGAAAAACACATTTATTTCTTTGGTCACCTTTAAAATTAAAACACACAAACTTTAGCAGGGAGAAACTTTTATTGTATTTTCTCAAAATTATAATTGTGACAAATCTTAATAATTAAGAGAAATTAGAAAAAATATAGAAGCATAAATTTGACATGGAAAGGTATAGAAGACATACTGTACTAAGTACATAGTATATGATCCTAATTTGGGGCCAAATGTTACATATAATTTTCCCTGGATGGTGATATTTTTATGGGAAACCTTAAAGATTTTTTATAACTTCTCAACTGTCTACAGTGAGCAAATCTTAAATCGGAAAAAAAATAGTAGTGTATTCAAATTCCTCAGGGATGTCAGGCACATCCTGAAAGGCACTGCTGTATCTGACATACTTCAAATACTGAGAAGAGGCGATGGTTCCTGCCTTAGTGTGGGCTCAAGTCTGTACCCAGCCTCTGCCGGTAGTCTTTGGAGAGCTATTGATCAGGGAGTTCCTCCTTTTAGTATTCGACGCACAACCTGAAGCCTCTCCTCATCTGCTTTTTGGTAGTTTTTTTCTAGTTCTGCCATCCCTGAACTTTGGCTTTTAATGTGTTTGGGTAAGCATTTTAATTCCCAGTGAAATTGGTTTTCCTGCTTGGATCGTCTCTGCAGAGTCTACCTTTGTGTTCATCTGCATTGGAATTAGATTCCAATTTCAAAACAATTCCCTAGTTTTTTGATTCATTTTAAAAAAACCAGATATTTCTCCCAGGACCACACTCTTGACCATTAGTTACCGAGCAGCCTCCATGGATGCTTCTTTTTTTTCTTTCTTCAAGATTTGGAACCACGACTTGTGTCCTGAATTCAGAATCAGCCTTTGTCTCCTTCCACTATCAAAAGTGCCCGTTCTCATCAGCCAGCTCTAGCTTGACTTCACATACATACCATGCAGCGTCTCCTGACTCCTGGGCTGATCAGAAGCCTCCTTGGGGAACACTGTGGAAGGCTTGTTTTCTGATGGTGGGCAGCAGAACATACAGAGGTATCTGCTTTTGTTGACAGAATGGCTCCAGTGGCTCCTGATGTTCCCCACCCCAAAGTTCCTCAATGTTTAGGTAAAGAAAGTGAGGTTTGGAAGATGCCACCATCTTTTTTTTTGTAGAGATGTGGTCTCGCCAAGTTGCCCAGGTTGGTCTTGAACCCCTGGACTCAGGCAATTCTCTCACCTTGGCCTCCCAAAGTGCTGGGATTATAGGTGTAAGCCACTGCACCTGCCTATATTGTACAATTAAAAAAATTTTTTTTTAATTTTAAAGATGTGGGGTACAATTCAGGGTTAAGTATACAAATGTTCATTATGTTGATAAGGTGTGCCTCCCCTCCGGCCAGCAGAATCCCACTACTGCCAATCTCACCTCCCTGGCCCCCCTGGTAATTTCCCACTACTGACAATACTTTTTACAATAATTATTCAAGGTCCACTTATGAGTGAGAACATGAGATACTCAGTTCTTTGTTTCTGTGATAGATCACTCAGTATTATAGACTCTAAGTTCATACAAGTTAATGTGAAGTTCATAATTTTGTTCTTCTTTATGGCTGCGTAATATTCCATCATGTAAATGGACCACATTTTTTTTTATCCAGTCCTCTTTTCGATGGGCAGCATGGTTGGTTCCATGTTTTTGCTATTGTGGACAATGCTCTAATAAACATGCATGTGCAGGTATCTTTTTCATAGAGTGATTTGAGTTCCTCTGGGTATACTCCTAGTAGGGGGATTGCAGGATCCCACGGAAGGTTGATTTTTAGACCTTTTAGGAATTGTCAAACTGTTTTCCACAGAGGTTGTACTAGTTTACACTCCCACCAACAGTGTAGAAATGTTCCCTTTTTCCCTGCATCCTCTCCAGCATCTGTTGTTCTCTGAGTTATTGATGATGGCCATCCTGACTAGAGTTACGTGTGGTTTTAGTTTGCATTTCTTTGATGACTAGTGAGGCTGAGCATTTTTTCTTGTATCTGTTGGCTGCTCGTATGTCTTCTTTTCAGACGTGCCTATTCATATTTTTTGCCCACTTTGTAATGGGCTGTTTTTTTTTTCTTTTCAGTTCCTTGTAGATCCTAGATGTTAGGCCTTTGTCAGATATATAGTTGGATGCTGCCATCTTATCCTGAGATAGAGCAAGACCCCCAGCACTGATGGCAGGAGAAGTGCTACAGGGTTTTGTCCTGTGACTCGGTGAAGAGAGAGAGTTGGTAAAGACCATGCCTGTCCTCATGGGTCACTACACGGGTACAATATTCTTTCTAGAGACCCTCATTCATACTTTTAAGTCTTCATGTCCTTTGGTCTAAAATTCACTCAGTAATTGTAATTCTCAAACAAAAGGAAATCTTTAGGCAGAGATTTGACTCTTAGGCCCTAGAAATCTGTACATGTAACTTCAGACAAATAATAGAACTTGAGGTAAGTTCCCTCACCTCTTCTTCCTTCAGACTTGGTGGGTCTATTATGGCATGCACTTATTACAGCATGGTACAGAATGCTCCGACTCCCTTTGTAAACAGTGCAGGACAGGACTTTTCCTCATGTTGTTCATGTGAAGTACGAACACAATTATGAACATTTCCAGATGGTTTGGTTTATTCTAACTTCCTTTTCCTGTTTTTCTAAACTGTGGGAGTTGCTTGTGGAGTGATGAGCACTACACATAATAATACCTAAAATTTCAATACAGCATTATAGCTTATAAAGCCCATTCCATCACTTAATGATGATATGTTACTTACTCATCACCCTCTCCCTCCCTTTTATCACTTTGTCAGAGTAGAAGCCAGTAACCTTCTCAAGCAACTTTTTCTCTGTGGAAATTTGGGATTTTCCTGTTTAACAATAGTATGTCAGAGCCCTGTTATCCTCTTTTGGGCTTTCTTGGCCTAGTTTTAATAACAATTTTCTGCCAAGCACTTTGAAAATGCAAGTGATCCCTAAATTTTAATTCCTTCTTCAGGAAAATATCACTAACTTGATACTGGTTAATTTAATGTAGTGTCCCCTTCAAAGAAATTTATCCTCACCAGATGATAAGGTGAGTTTGCTTGAATAATAAGCACAGTTAATTCACAATGTAAAATTATTATGAAATTTGAACTGAAAATTTGGTTTAGAGACATTTAGAATGGGTTTCTCCTAACACAAACCTTAAAGATCATCTACTATATAGAAATTTTTAAAAAATGTATGAGGGTGATCTTATATTTAGAAAAACCTAAAGATGACCAAAAAACTCTTAGAACTGATACATGAATTCAGTAAAGTTGTTGATACAGAATTAATACACATATCAACAGCCAACTGATTTTTTTACAAAGGTGCCAAGACCACTCACTGGGGAAAGGACAGTCTCTTCAACAAATGGTGCTGGCAAAACTAGACATTCATATACAGAAGAGTGAAACTAGACCCCCACCTCTCACCCTATTAAAAATCAACTCAAGGCAACCCCTTAGGGTCCCCTCCCACTGTGGGAGCTTTTCTGTCCTCTCAATAAATCCTACTTTCTAAAAAAAAAAAAAATCAACTCAAAATAGAACAAAGACTTAAACATGAGACGCGAAACAATAAAACTACTAGAAGAAAACACAAAACAAATGCTTCAGGACAGTGGTCTGGGAAGAGATTTTACAAATAAGACCTCAAAAGCACAGGCAACAAAAGCAAGGGACAAACAGGATTATATCAAACTAAAAACCCTCTGCACAACAAAGGAAACAACTGACAGAATAAAAAGACAGTCTACAGAACGGGAAAAAATATTTGCAAACTGCTCATTTGATGGGATTAATATCCCAAATATACAAGGAACTCAAACATCTCAACAGCAAACAAACAATCCAATTAAAAAATGAGCAAATGATCTGAACAGACATTTCTCAAAAGAAGTCATACAAATGGCCAAAAAATACATGAAAAAATGCTCAGTATCATTAATCATCAGAGAAATGCAAACCAAAACTGCAATGAGGTATCATCTAACCCCAGTTAGGATGACTATTCCCAAAGAGACAAAAAATAACAAATGCTGGCGAGGATGTGGCGAAAGGAGAATCTTATATACTGTTGGTGGGAATGTAAACTAGTACAGACACTATGGAGAACAGTATGAAGGGTCCTCCAAAAACTATAAATGGAACCGCCATTTGACTCAGCAACCCCACAAACTGGGAATTTATCCAAAGGAAAGAAAATCAGTATATGGAAGAGACATCTGCACTCCCATGCTTACTGCAGCACTATTCACAATAGCCAAGATATGGAATCAACCTAGGTGTCCATCAACAGGGGAACGATAAAGAAAATCAGTATATATACATCATGAAATACTATTCAGTCATAAAAAAAGAATAAAATCCTGTCATATGTGGCAACATAGATGAAACTGGAAGACATTATGTTACGTGAAATAAGCTAGGAACAGAAAGTTAAACCCTACATGTTCTTACTCCTAATTGGAAACTAAAAAAAGTTGTTCTCGTAGAAATAAAAAGTAGACCAGAAGATACTAGAGGATGGGAAAGGTAGAAGAAAGGGAGGGATGGGGAGAGATTTGTTGATGGACATGAAATTACTAGGAGAATAAGTTCTAGTGTTCTCTGTATCATTGTAGGATTAACTATGAACTATAGTTAATGACAGTATATTATGTAGTTCCAAAGAACTAGAAGCTCTGTTTAGTTCAGACTTAGTTTAAAAAGCTTGAAAAATTATTTAATCAAATAGCCAGAAGGAGAATATTAAATACTCCCAATGCAAAGAAATGATAAATATCTGAGGTGACAGATATGCCAGTTATCCTCATCTGATCACTATACATTAAATATATCAAAATATAACTAAGTACTCTATGAATATGTACAATTATTATTTGTAAATCTAAAGAAATGAAAAAACTGGGCACGGTGGTTCAGCATTTTGACTGTTGTGAGTCATGATCGTGCCATGAGCCTAAATAAACAAACAAAAATAATCAGGAGCTTTCTCCTGTTGGGGCTTCTCATAAAGCCCTCTGAAAGCCTTTGTCTTTTTCTTAAACTATTCCTCTGATTCCTTGTTGTGTCTGTTTCCCCAATAAATCATAAAGGCTGGAGAACAGGAAAAAAAAGTATGAGGGATGGTATTAAGGTTGAAATTTTTAAAAAATGTCTCTCTGTCTCTCTCTGTCTCTCTCTCTCTCTCTCTCTCTCTCTCTCTCTCTCTCTCTCTCTATATATATATATATATATATATATATATATAGTGCTTTACTTGTTAATATGGCGATCAAAGAATTTTTTGTACTTTTTTTTTTAAAGCAGGATTTATTGAGAGGACAGAAAAGTACCCACAGTTGGAGGGGACCCAAAAGGGTTGCCCAGCACTATTTTAAATAAAAAATTTTAAATTTAAGATTAAAAAATTCTTATAGTAATTATCTTCAAATTATGTCACTATTTTTTTTTTTTTTTTTTTTTGAGTTAGGGTCTCACTCTGCCACCCAGGCTGGAGTACAGTGGCATGATCACGGCTTACCGCAGCCTCGACCTTCTGGACTCAGGTGATCCTTCCACCTCAGCCTCCTGAGTAGCTAGGACTTTAGGTGTATACTACCACACCCGTCTAATTTTTAAGGTTTTTTTTGTAGAGATGACGTCTGGCTCTATTGCCAAGGTTGGTCTCAAACTCCTGGGTGCAAACAATCCTCCTGCCTCCCAAAGTGTTGAGATTACAGGTAGTATGAGTCGCTGTGCCTGGCCACCAACTGGGCATTTTAAATTAAAACTGACAATTTCACTAAATGTATTTCTACAAATATTAAAGATTTTGAAATTTTTAATAGACTCTTCATTATTAGTTTCATTTAAAAGACAATGCCATTACACTGGTATAGGATAAATTCTTTTTTCTTTTTTTTTGAGTTGGAGTCTCAGCCGGGCTCAGTGGCTCAGCCTGTAATCCCGCGCCTTTGGGAGGCTGAGGTGAGTGGATTGCCTGAGCCTGCGGGTTTGAGATCCGCCTGGGCAGGCGAGACCTCATCTCTACAATAAATCAAAAAATCAGCCGGGCATGGTAGCGC